GAGCTTTAAATGATAATATAATGCTGGATAGTTCCATTAATAGTTCCATTAATATAATGCATCAGTAAGGATCTTTTGTGAATAAAATCTGCAGTAGTAATAGTTACATTTCTCTGGGAAATGTAACCATTACTACTGCAAATATAATGCAATATTTTTTATTTGAAGTAATCATTGTTCACAGTGCATGTGAAAAATGAAACGACTGTCACCTACGATATGACAGATATTATTAAGCCCTTAAAACAATAACTGTTCAGCTAATTAAATTAAATAAACACAAAGATAATTGCACCATTTTGGAGTTTAACCCTGTGGGAACAATTTGCAGTAACAGTAGTAAAATGTCTCCAAGGTAAATATAATGCAATATTTTCCTTTGAAGTAAAAGTAAACCGTGAGTAAGTAGAATGCATTGCTTTTGAAGGATATTTTGGGGTATAATAAGTATGATCATGAAAATTATTTAATATTTTCACATCTAAAAATCATAATCTACAGCCATTTGAAGCTTTTTTTTTTTGCTTGGGCCCCAGGCAGTAGGCTACCTTTCCTCATGTTAAAGTCTTCTTCTGATATTTCCTCCCTGACAGATTGGCTGTGCCCCGCCTCTCGCTGGAGTGCATGCTAAACCTGAATGGATGGATGGATGGATGTTCACTCACTGACGTTAAGGCCTTGATGCTGGCCCTCCTGTAACACAACACCTTACGACCAATGTGGCTGCATCCAACCCGAACGAGCATCGTATTTATCTGATAATCCATGAGGACCTGCACCTTCCTGTGTTGTAATATAATGTAATAATGTTTAAAAGACATCCGGTTCCAAGCATCTGCCATCTAATAAATGACGGTCTGCGTCACCATGGAGAGCTTGATATGATATAACCACAGCTAGCTCCAGGGTTAGCAGGGTGAGGAGCTTGTGGTCAGCGGATCGTCGGCGGTGGAAACCTCCTCCCCTCCATCCTCTGCCTCTCATCCCGGGCAGGTGTGTGAGCCGTGACCACCTCAGCTAACACCCAGTTTGAAGACAGCACCCCCCATTTGTAGTTTTCTAATACGAACTTGACACCTTGCTAAGCTAACGCATCGTTATAAAACAGTGAAAGGTGCAGAAGACGGTTGGTATATAAATGACGGTTGGTGTAGTTACCGCTGAAGACCATGGCCGCAGTGGCTCCCATCACAGCGAAGAAAGGCGCGTACTCGGGGCTCTCCTCAGAAGACATTCTCGCACTATTCTCGCGGGCGATGCAGCTACAAGGTAGACTTCTTGTTTCTAATTTAGGTTTTCCCCGTTTAACTACCGGACAGGTTACAACACTGAGAGAGAGGGGAGAGAAGGTAGCTGCCAACAAGATCACCGGTGTAGAAGAGGAAAATGGCGAAACGGAAAAAGTCACATGACGAGCTACCATCTCGGAAGGATCTATTTATGTGAATACGGGGGTGCTCGACACGAACAGGCTTGAAACATCTAACCTTTGTTGTTTATTGCACTGTAAAATACATCCTATACAATACTCATCTGATATTAATTATCATAGCTTTTATATTTAAAAGCATTTTGTTAAAATACGATTTAGGATACGAGTAGCTGTACTGTGTTTTATGGTACGCTCTGCTGCAAGTGCACTGACTGCAGTTGAAACGCTAGTTGTCACTACCTTTAAATATACAGTCTATGGTCACTACACGCTGGCGTATTAATTATTAGGTATCAAATAGGTAGTCAAATCAACTATAAACACCACGTTAGCTCTATAATTTAAAAAGGAACACAAAATAAACTTTAGTCAAACAATTGATAAATAGAGGCGACCAGAAAGCACAGTTTCCCAGCATCCATTCATGCTCCTTTAGCTATAGCCCCGCATATGTTTTGTTATTATTCGCCTAGAAAATAACCTGTCAAGCAGAAGTTAATTTAATCAACATTAGAGAACCAAACACATTCTTCCGTTTTTGAGTGACCCGGAGACACATCCTGCTGCTGCTTCTGTCAAGGTGACACTGTAACATCTAATGTCAGCTATAAGGACATGTTCCCTCATGACATTTGTATTTTTGTTTTGGTCAGTTTTCCTAAATAGATTATTTCTTACCAGATCCTATTTGACCTTTTTGATATATTTTAGGTATTTATCTTCCACAGCACCCGTTACTGAGTTGATGGTTATCACATTTTGTAATCCATGGTTCAAATGAGTTTTATTTCCTGAGACCCTTTTTAGTTTGAAGTATGTTTTTGTACAAAACCAAAATAAAATGATCTTGGTTTTAGCTTGTAATGATCCTTCTCCTTGAAAATAATAACCTACAATTTGCTTTTTACCAATTCTAAAATCCAATCCATTTATATAGCACCTTTCATAAAAAGGTTACAAAGTGCCTTACAAAACAGCAGTTAAACAAACATCAATACCTGAGCCTAAAACACAGCATTATACAATAAATGTAATATTATAGCAATCCTCGCATAAATAAATTCTTGTTTGGTTAACACTTATACCATTTTTGTCAACTATCAATGTGTAAAACTGAGTTTCATGCACAAGTACCACTTTAAATCTTGTTTTTGCAAGAGATGTGCTCATAATTATTTGAAAATGGTCATTCAGCATAAAAAAAGAAAGAATAAAAAGTCTATTCCACTCAAGAATTGTCAAACTAGTCAACATATTAGGTTAGGGCACCATAGAAATGTTGGACTAAGATTTTGTGTACCCACCTCGCAGATCACCAGCAAAAACATGTAAATGTAGTATGTCATTAAAACAGAAAACATTGTAAATCATCACCCCAATTGGTTTATGATGACTTAATATTTGCTTTGTGGAAATTGTCTTTATAATCCATAAGCCTAACACACATTTTCATCTGATACTTGGAAAATTGTGGTGTATAAACACACATACTCATTGCAGATTACGATTACTTATACAACTTTACACGTTTAATTTACATTCACTTCCAGGTTTAAGTTTCTGTGTCTTTAACCCAAAACCTAATTATCAAATTAGTCCTCAGTTATAGCAGATTTATTCCCCGAATCTAATAGCATCGACCACAATACTAATTACACTACAGATCATATTCAATCTGAGGGATTTTACTTGGTGAGATATGGCACTTTCATGGTTTTAGAGTCACTCCAGCTCCTGCACAGGCATTTAAGGAATAGTTTGAATTATCTTGTAGGGTATTTGATTAACTCAAATTTGATTTCCTATATATTTCTAATTCAAATGCTTGTCTCTCAGTTTGGTCTTAGTTCAATTGTGTCATGAGAATGTGCTTAAATCTTATATGGGAATACAAACTGAAAGCAGAAAATGTGTTGCACACATACATGACTGTCAGCAGCCTCTGCGCTGCATATCGTAAAGTCATAAAGTCGTAAAGTGCCCTTAGTCAGAGCTCAACCATGTGACCAGTTCCTGCTCCAAGATCAACAATCACTATACTTTACTGTAAAAGGAAAAACAGTTCAGAGGGGGATTTTTTGGGGGGAGGAGAATGCTTTTTTGGGAGATCATTTTGTCCTGGGTGTTGGGGAATAATTTGCTTAGGTATTCAACCTTTGACAAAGTTCATAATTTTCCTCTTTTCACTGTCTCCTTTCCCATGGCATAGGTCTACGGCCTTGGGTATTGCTGCTATCTCTCTTAAGGAGGGGCCGCTTGGGCGCATTGTTATTGCCAGTTTATGACCGAGCACAAGCTGACATGAGATAGTTTATTGTTCAGGCACATCTAGAAGACCTTCTTTTGAGGAACGTAGGTTCCCTGGCGGCTGGCGCACATTCTTTCCTATGGACGACAGCTCTAGTTAGATTCAGGGTACATATTTGTTTAGTCTCGCTGATAAAGAATGTTGATTATTACACTCCGAACTAGTTAAAACCTCGAACTACAGAAGGATTCTTCAGAATTGATTGTGGCATCTCAACCGTGTGGTCAACTCGTGGCCCGTGACATGTCTTGTGAATTCTCCGGCCGAAGCTCCAAATAAACCATCAGTGTTTGCCATCAAAGCTCCAGCTCTCCTCGTGTGCTTCAGAAGTTTCCCCCACACTGGGCATTTTTGCTGCCTCTTTCAGTTTGAACGTTGCAGCAATTGGACGGTTATGTGTTCCAATGTGTTGTAAACCCAATCCATACTCCATGTTGTGAAATATTATATTAATGTCAATACGCACCATTTTTTTCAGTAGCATAACTGAATTTGTCTTCTATGACTGTACATATATTTTCGTAGCATTTTGTCTGAATTATTTGCATATTTGAATCAAACAGATCATATTCCTCTTATCATTAAGTCCCTACATCACCATCTGCTGGCTGATCTACGGACCAGTCAGAGGATCCTGTTGATTTTCATCCTCCCTGTAAATGACAACTCCGCTGACATGTTTATTATATATTTTCACTTTAAATTACAAACTGAATGTTTGACCTTCAGTTTATTTCCACACCATTTCGTCACATGCATTAGCTAACGCTCAGTAAAACAGGAACTGAAAATGAAGATGAAACACTGAACTGAAAGGACCCTCAGTTATCAAGGGTTAAAGAAAAGGCTTATATGTTGTCTTTGTTCTTACTACTCTTCTAAAGCATTTATATATTTCTTTTTAAAGTCATTTTAATGGGAATAAAAGGCAAGAGTACATACAGGAACATATTACTCGTCCTGTCACAATAACTTATTTTGAGAAACGATATATTGTTCCAGAGATAATTCCTATTAACATTATTGTCCTTTTTTGGAAAATGTTATGCCTCTAATAAGATAATGGAATAAGCCTAGCACAAGTTTTCAAACAGCAATGAACTTCTAATACTTAAGAATATTCAGATATTGGAATTGGAATATTATAGTTCTTATATCTTGGTCAGCGAAAATGATCATGTCCATATATGGTATGATAAGTCAAATAATAATTATCGAGACAGTCCTAAAGATCACCAGCAAAAGAAGACTGAACACAGGTTACAGGCACACTGTATTTTAATGAAAGATTAGGTTAAAATAATACACTTTAATGAAAGAAGCAGACATTAAAAATCACCATAAATATGCTACACAATCCTAAACACACTTTCCTCTGACACATTTGAGTAAATGTATCTGTAGGGGCAGCTCCGTGTTAGGCTATACACACACAAACACATGTAGGATAGATCTCAGCATGAAGGAAAAGTGAAGACATCCCAACTGTGAAGCAGAAACTCTAGACGTGAACCCCAGGCTAATGCTTCTCTACGACATCCAGCTAAATACATCTCAGCACACACACACACACACACACGCACTAAAATGTATACCTACAAGCAGAAGACACTCACACTCCAGATTTAAGAATTCTTGCAGGAGACTTTTGCGGGTTTTAACATTACTAATTCAACAACCTGATTGCCTCTAGCAAAATATGTGTCACTGATCCCTTACCATAAAAAAAAAAGCATAGATTTCACTGATAAAAAAAGCCAATCCAACTCTTCCTATACCCATCTATCACTCAGAAAATGATCTACAGGTTGAACAGTCTCAAATACTTTGCTCATTTTGGACCAGATATGTCTAAATGCGCACCTTAAACTCAGAAAGGAAAACCCAAATACCTGCATCTGATGTGTAAGAAGGTCAGATTATCTGTCTTTCACTGGCCTCGCCCCACACAGCGAGACTGTTAAGCGGTCATCACTCACACACGCTTTTAAAACCCAACATGCGCACACACACACCTGTGTGGCTACATGTCCCAGTCGTTCACACACAAACCCTGCACTCATTCAGTCCATGTCCCAGCACAACCAGCAATTGGGATAGCGATATATCAGCAAATGTGTTGTCGTGGTCGCTGGAAAAACATGAAGAACGGAAAAGATAAAAGGCATCACATGCTATTCTTGGTACGAAGTGAAAGTGTGGCACAGCGATGGCTCGTACGCGGGATGAGGAAGCTACACTGGAACCCTTTATAGTCGAAGGGATGCAACTTTTGAAAAAAGTCATGAAGAAAGATGAAGATTTCCCTCTCAGTCCCAGCCGTTGTCCTTTATCATGTGGGACAGCTCGATGATAAACTTCCCCTCCTTGTACTTCTGACTCAGCTCGAAGGCTTGTTCCTGCAGAAAGGGAGGTTATTCAAAAGTAGGTTAGAGTAAAGCTCAAATCAGAATTACACAATGTCTATCCAGTAATTTTCCTAAAATGATATACTGATATTTTCAAAGGTACATAAGAAGAAAATCAAATATCTCTCTTTTTCTGAGCAGAAACCTCAATATTGATATTGCAAAGACAATGCAGGGTTTACTATTGAGGCTTTCCAAATGACTTCACAATGACATTTTGGAAATTGTGGACACAATGGCTTAGTAACACGCATTATTGTCAGGTACATTTGTTAAATAATATCATTAATGCAGCCTTTAAAACCAGGAAAAGACATACTAGAACACTATCCAAATGTAAGACGATATTTATTCTCATAGCAGGATTTTGATAGAATATTCATATATTGCTTAGCTCTAGTTACAAGTTGAAACGTTATTTTTTTAGGCCAAATTATCACTTTTGAGAAAATTCCCCATTTGGGATGAATAAAGTATATCTAATGTAATTGCATCTATAATAATCTTTATAATAATATAAAGTATGAAGAAATCAGCTGTGAAAATGTGGCCTTCAAATATTCTTAATTTGAAACTATTTTCTATTATTAGCCTAGAGAAATGTAATCTGCAACCACATCATAAAATGTGTTATGCTGTATTTCTAGTTTTTTTGTCAAGAGGTAACGATGATGCTTCTGACTCTGTGCACATGAGCTCTGTAGCTACATGGAAGCTGATTTCCTCCTGAAAATGTGATTAAACATTAGGACTGCTGCAGCTTATAAGATGTTATGTAAGAAATGTGTTTGGTCAGATGGGCTGCTTGTGTTTTCTGTTTCTTGTTTCTGATGGCGGTGGAGATAATTAATGTTCCCAACCACAGGGAACAAATGAAAGTGAGCACAGGAAATGTAGAGCACATAATAGAAATCCCCTGGAAGTAACTGCGGTTAACTACAATATAGGCCCGGGTTTTTCTCATGCTAAAAGAAACTCATGACAATAACTCCTTACATCAAAACAAACTGATCATGGGGAATTTTCATTATCAGAATCAACTTTGGCGTCTTCTTGAATGACTTGAAAAAGCTATCAAGCTCATTATTATAGAAAAAAAAGACTTACAAAAAAGAATACAGGACTTCCCATGAAAGAAACAACTCACACAATGTTGGTATTTTTTATCATTGATTTATGCAGGGGGACCTTATGATTACCTTATTTTAAAAATACAAATAAAATCAGTAAAAACTAAAATCGTAATTCAAACGTTTCTTTGCAAAATGTAATATTAATTAATGTTTGAGAGTTGTAAGCATTTTTTTCCAATGACTATTAGGATAATATTGTGAATTGCAATACGTTTGGATAAACGGAACATCAAATATTCAATGCCTTGAAGCAGTTTTCCTAAGAATGTGCATAACTTAACGTGGCTTTGTCAGAGTAGATGAGAGAATGTACACACAGTAAGGCAATAGAAGTAAAGCATCCATCTAATGAAATACCATCTACATGTGAAACCTGACACTGAATTGTAAATCAACCATGTCACTGCCTTTCGTCAAACCTAATATCAGTTTAACCGCGACCAAGGCGGCGTTTTATTCACACGCGGTCGTACTTACATATTTCCAGCCCAGCGTGGTGTGACAGTTTTCACAGTAGATGTCGGCGACGGCGTGGAGTCCTGTGAGCAGCAGCCTCTCCTCCGCAGGACCGCAGCCCACGTTCACCCTGAAGACAAACGCAGAGCTGTCAAACAGAAGCTCCTCTCCGACTCACAGAGGGCGTCACGGTGATTAAACTACTCTCATGCACTCTGAGACTACGTGAACCTGAACAGCAAAGCTCCTACTGTCCTATATATGAACTCAGAATAAAGTTATCAAAGAGTCATGGGGAGGATTTATTTCCATGAACCATTCACAGCTTCACAGAATCTATTCAATTAGGTTCATTTAAAGGTAGGGTAGGTAAGTTTGAGAAACCGGCTCGAGATACACTTTTTGCGGGGCGGCGACGGCGAATAATCGATTAATATTCGCCAGGGCTGTCCGATTTTCGAATTTGATCATGGTCAGTTTCTGGCATCCCTAGCGCGTTCGTGTGTGTTGGAGGAGGGGCTCTATAAGGAAGTGGCAGATTTTCTCCGGTTGTGTATTTTCAAATTCTAGCGATCTCGAGCCGGTTTCTCAAACTTACCTACCCTACCTTTAAGTTTCCCCTTTTGAGGGTTGTATAGTTCGGATCCACCAACAGGAGAAGCGTGACTTAGACCCCATTTACACGGGAGCGCAAACGCAAACAGACGGAATTCGTTATCAAAAAAGTATTCCGTTCACACGCATTCGGCTCATTTAACGTGTCCGTTCACACGAGACCACTGGAAACGCTGTAGTACATATGCCGGGCCTGTAAGTGGCGCTGTACTTCCGCACGAGACCGCTCGGAAGCGCTGGAGACGCTGTAGTACATATGCCGGGCCTGTAAGTGGCGCTGTACTTCCGCACGAGACCGCTAGGAAGCGCTGGAGACGCTGTAGTACATATGCCGGGCCTGTAAGTGGCGCTGTACTTCTGCCACAAAATACACCAAAAGCAGCGAAGAAGACCCCCGAGCATGGTTGCCCTTCTGTTTATGCCCCGCGGTAGATTTAGCAACATGTAGTTCATGTAATTCTCCATGTCCACTTGTTGCTGATGGTTGTGGTAGAGGAGCTGTAGATGTTGTACTAACATCTGTAGCATGGTCAGTAGCAGTAGCATGGTCAGTAGCTACTGACAGTAGCTACTGACCATGCTACAGCAGTGAGCAGCAGAGGTGGGGCTATGGCTTCATCGTTATCAGGAAATGATCGTATAGGGTGTACACACAGAGCCGTTTGGCCCCCCAGAGCGTTCCGTTTGCAGATCTATCCACCTTGGGACCCGTTATCGTTTACGGGGTCCGTTTCCGCGGTTCCGTTACGGCCTCGTGTGAACGAATGGGCTATACCAGCGGTTTTCAAAGTGTGAGGCGCGCCTCCCCTGGGGGGCGCCAGAGAGCTTCAGGGGAGGCGCAGCGTGAGAAAAAATAATAACGAGAAAAAAGACGAGTAAAGTGACATTTGCACACTTTTGCCTGTCTGTGGAGACCGAGTTCCCCCACCTCGCCAAAAAGGCTGTTAAAGTGCTCACTCCCTTCACCTCCACCTACCTGTGTGAGTGCGGGTTTTCCGCATTGACTCTGATCAAAGGAAGTGCCGGTCAAGGCTGCAGCCAGAGGATGATCTGCGTTTATTCCTGTGTGCATCAAAGACGCAGACTCATTGTTCCCACTAAAGTAGGGGTGAGTGTAATAAGGAGATAAAGTTGACGTTCAGTGTGTTGCCGGGAGCATATAAGGATGTATCCACGATGTTGAAAATGTTAAAAATGTTTAAAAGATATGTGTTGAGAACACGGCGTGCGAAAATATACGGGTCGTGCTGCAGCTAGATGTGCCTGTCCTCTGTAAGAAGGTGTCGGCGACTGACATGCAAGGAAGAACGGCTGTCCACAGGCTGTTCCAACTTTAACAACTTTATTAACTTCCAGGGTAGTGAATTGAACATGCTATTGTAATTGGGTGTGTGGTATATTTTCATGCACGGACACGCATGTTCCACAACACACAAACTGAACAACACTCAATTGTACGATCGCTACCAGTGTCCTTGCGATCTTGTTATAACAAGTCAACAAGTGCACGTTATTACTGATGCAATATGGTTGAGACCATTCGGGCTTATTCTAGAGGGGTGCAAGGAATAGTCCAAGTAGTGGAGGAGTTTTATACAATATGTTTAAAACATAAAGATAAAAAGGTTTTAAAAAGTGATTGTTTAATGTTTTAAGGAGGTGACGCTACTCAGCCAATCAAATCGGTGCAGTCAGTGAGTCAGCACAATAGATTCAAACACTCACAGAGACGAGACAAGAGGAGAGAAACAGTCGGAATAATTTCAAATGGCGGAAGGTAGACAGCGAAAACAGAGCATTTAATGACATGTTCTCTTACTGGACCTCTTTGAAATGCAATGTAATAACAACAATAATAATAATAATAATAATAATAATAGCAATAATAATTGGGAGGGGGGGCGCGGCTGTTCATATGTTCTCTGAGGGGAGGCTCACCTTCCCACACTTTGAAAACCCCTGGGCTATACGAAAGAGAAAAGTAGCAGATGCAACCCGTTTCGTTCTCGTGTAAACACCGCCTAAAGTGACCTTTAACTTCTACACCGCACCCCCGATACCGGGGGGAAAAACGCGTCATCTGCAGGAAACAGCGTCTGAGGGCATCTTAATATTCAATAAACGATGAATGTTTTATATCCATGTAACGGGAAGAAACTCAGCTAACTGATCTTGTATTTCTGTGTCCCTTAGAAATGATTTCTGATAATCCATAAGCAATAAACCTGCTTTTCCGTTTCCAGATGTCAGAGCGAGAGATAGGTTCGCTCTGATGCAAACCTGCATGCGCAAAGCCCCCACCTTTTTTTGTTAACATGTGTGTGTATGTGAAAATCCCCCTTCGATTCTATTGGCTCTAACAGTCAAAAAGAGATGGCAATCACCAAAATCGACCAATGGGTTCCAGAGAAACGGTAAAAACGCCCATTTCCACCCAAATCACCTCAGAGGTGGAGTTTTTTTTGCTAAACCTCTCTAATAAGGTCAAATGTCACTTGTTTTGCATCAATCTTGATACAGGGTACTTATTATATGTTGTACTTTGGATTCCTAAAGCTTTTAGTCTACCTTACCATCATCCAAGGGTAGTTTTCACTATAAGTAAAAAATAATTTTTGGACGGACACTATAATTTACAGTTTTTTTACTATGGTCAATCTGAATTTTCTTTAAAATGAAAAACATCTATATTGATTCTGACTTTTCTACATCCAACTCACAGGTTTATCATTACTTTGAGAAAAAAGATTATTAATTTAAGCCTTTTAGAAGGGAAGATATGGTCATTTGTTCTGGGAATGTCATTTTCGAGCCTGAGACCTGAAAAACAGGCTCAGGGCTTAACAGGTTAAGGTTCACTGGAAAGCAAATCAAATGATCTGCTGGTCATGAGGTTTGTGCAAACACGTCCGATACTGGGAATTTGTTTTCATAGCACTATTGAAATGGCACGTTGGGAAAGAAAAAAAAAAAATCATAGATTCAGCAACTTATTTCTTTTTCTTCCTCAGAAATAATCAAAAGGCCACTAATCTGATCTGATCTGAAAAAGCTTCAAAGTCCATCAAAAATAGCAAGGAACATTTAAAGACAGTGGTTCTTAATTGAACACTTACTAAAGTTACTTCCTACCCATCTACAAAGTGATTATGGCAATAGAATTAAGATTGGAAGCCTTTGGAAGTGTGCATTCATTCTGCCAATTTGTTATAATAATAAAAGAAAATACTCACACAGAGTTGAAGAGGTAGGCTCGCCCCTGACTGCCTTGAAACGACTGAAGACAAACAAGAGAAAGTGTTATTGTGTCCATTTGACATGTGAATCAAACAACCTGAATGTATTTTTAGTTTACAATAATGCGTCCATCTCTGGGAGATTAGTTTTGTCAGTCAAGTTATTCCAGTTTTGCTACTTTCTACGTGACAGTCATGAGGCGGCGTCTATATGTGCCTCCTGAAATTAGTATTGACATCAAAAGGCAGGCGGCATTCTTACCTTGGAGATGAGGTCGTCATGGTTGGCCAGATGGGCGCGGCAGTGCACACAGCTGTAGCGACGGTGGCACGTGTCCAGGTACGCCTGGAACGTCTTGGCCTTTGTCAGCTTCACCATGTCTGAAGCAGGGAGGGAGCAGGATGTTGGTGTTGTGTGTTAGCGGTGCAAGGCAAGGCAAGTTTATTTATATAGCACATTTCAACACAAGGCAATTTAAAGTGCTTTACAAAAATGAAAGACATTAAGAGCATTAAGAAACATATGAAATGACATTTAAAAACACCCATGCAGGCATACAGGCTACTGCTAACACACACTGGTTAAACAGATTTCATTTTGCAGAGTTACTGCAGCTTTCAACATGCTACCACTAATTTAAGACCACATGAAGTATTTGTATTTTGCCGTCATACTGTCAGACTAATGAAGGACAATGAGTACCCTGTGAATGAAAATAGGTCCTATATTTTTTACATTACCAGTATATATTAATTTATTGACATGTTTAAATAATGTAATAGTAATAAACAATAGCAAATATACATTTAATGTCTAAATCTGAAGAAGCTTTGAGGGTAGCATCATGTGCTCGAGTAATTAAAGCTATACAACAATGCAAGGCTTCCCCCTACAATAACATAACCCCACATTAATGTTAATACATTGTTATACTATAACAATTATTTGGTTAACCGATCAGACAATATCAATTACAAAATAATTTCACTCATGTATTGGTAGGTATTGCATTTACCTCTTTTATCACATGTGTTGTAAAGTGAACATTAGGGGAAGATAAGACGTTGAAAGACCAAAGTCTGGGCTCAGATATCCACTCAGTTTGACACCCTTTTTAAATAATCAAAAACGACCATTTCCTTGATGGAAGTTAGTAAACATTGACTCAACCGTACATCCTGAGTCACACATGTGAAGGTGTGACTTACTACAACACGTTCACTTATATGTTTTACCACTTTTAGATGTTTCATAGCATTATGGTTTTCTATCATCCTTCTTTCCTTGCAGAAACAGGACTCCACAGAGTCGTACAAATGAGTAATATTGAATCAGATTCAGCTCTATTTGTCAAGTGTGTGCACAGATCATTTGACTTTGGTTTTTAAGTTGCTCTCAATGTACTTCCTCACAGTTCAAAGAGCAATCAACATAAGAAATGGGCAAAATGACAACAAAGCTGCCCAACAGTAGTACAACTAAACCATTGAGTGTTACATACAGGCTGAACATTTCTTTTGCTATGAAAAGAACTCACATGCAGCCCGAGGACACAATGTGCTGTTAGCATGCTTCTCTTATTTGCAGAGGTGGAAGAAGTACAGATCTGAGACTTAAGTTAAAGTAGAAGTGCCATAATTACAAACAAAATATTAAGTAAAGAAAAGTAAAAATCCTATAATAAATAATATTAGCATCAGAATACATTGATAGTACCAAAAGTACTCATTCTGCAGATTGGCCCATTTCAAAATAATATATATTACATGTTTTTATCATGATGAATGATGCATTATGAATGTTATCAAAGCTGGTGAAGGTGCAGCTCATTTTAATTCCTTTGTATGCTGCAGGGAAGCTTGTGGATTTACTCCAGGTGTAACTAAAGTCTTATATAAGTGTTGATTATATTTCACATTATTAATCAAAATCTGTAAAGTAACTAAAGCATAATAGATGTAGTGGAGTAAAAGGACACTATTTACCTCTGAATTGTAGTGGGGTAGAAGTACAAAGCAGCAACACATTGAAATACTCAAGTGTACACATTGTTTTTAAGTACAGTACTTGAGTAAATCTACTTGGTTACTTTACACCAGTGCTTATTTTACATTTCGCAAAGACTGACATATAGTCAAAGCAACATTTGATAATAAAGCATGTACTGTTTTTAAACCTCCCCCCTCTGGTTGAGAACCATGCTGGCAGCTTGCTTCCTGGTTAAAAATAGTTTGCACAAACAAACAAACCTCAGCTCATTAGTGAGATGCAATCGGTTAACCCAAATCCAAGGCTGTGCAACGTGTAATGCCACATTTAAGCAGTTTCCAGCCCTGTTGACCGGCTGTCAGTAGCTAAATAAGGATAAAAACGGCCTCCTGCACCTATCAGCTAACAGGCCACTGGATCGGACCTAGCTTGCGTGTTAGCCACCATGCTAGCTCCGCACAACAACACTCACACACACACGGCAGATAAGAGGCGCATTGCAGGATATTCCGCGTTACGTGTCGACTCACCTGATGATACCAAAGCTCCTCACAGTATATACAGCGGTCCAATGTGGATGACAGGCTTAAAATCATCTAATAAAAATAGGTTATTATGGTCGGTTTGGTCCAACGGTCGGCCACGCGCTGACGGTTCGGACAATAAAGGCAGCCTCCGGTCGTTTACCCGCGTTTCTCTCTTTGAATGTGAACCCGATTTAAAACTTCTTCACGGCCTTTGTTAAAAACGGGAGCAGGAGCCCGACAATGCTGGCAGACTCACAGGGTGATGACAGTGCGGCGGCCCCGGCGGGAGAAATATGTGGTTTGTTTATGAAAACACTCAGAGGAGGAAGTCTGGAGAGTGCAAAACAAATCCCTCTCAACCAATGGGAGGCCGCGTGTGACGTCTAGAATATGGGTCAACCAATCAGATTGCACTTCACATGGAGCCCTTTATGGCTATCAGCTTGATTGTTGATACAGTCTCATAATGCTGTTACAGTGTTATCATTTCCTGCTCTGGATGTGGGATACAAGTCATTTAGCACTGCTTGCAAACGTATCACATTTACACAATGTGAGGAACAAGTATTTGCAGTTTATGTGAGACTTAGACAATCTTGCACAGGAAGGATGGGGAAGTCATTGGGTTGTTGGGGGTTTATTGATGTATTTGCACTACTATATTGAGGCTGTGTTTGCTTTCCTCTTAAATGTATATAGCCTATGCAGCAGTTGAAAAAAAACAATAGCATTTTTCTTGCAGAAATGACTTTTGCATGATCACACTTGCAGATACACATTTCTCTGTATTTTTTCCCACATTTTTTCCAATGTATTTAGTTGTAACATGTGAAAACAAAAACGTTCTATTTTCAGCCCTGGCTGTGTGACAACATGAGTCTTACTTCTCTCTTGGGTCACTCTTTGCATGCTGATCCACTTATATTCCTATAACTCACACTGCAGTGCCAAGCAGGTCAGAAAAACACAGCCTTTGTTTCACCAACAGCCTGGTTGATTATTATCACAGTGGTATGGCCGGACTTTGACCGTAGCCTGGGAAAACAAGGACACAGGTGAAGCTAACTGCACATAAAACCCTCTGTTTATATTTGCCTGTATAAGTGACTGTATTTAACACAGATGCACAACAGAGCGTAAATACAACATTAAAAACACTACGCAACTATTGTGACATGTCTGCTGTATCAAAAATGTTACCTTTGTGTTGCTTTCATTTTCAACCCTTTGTGTGATTTTGATGATAACAGCACAGACAAAGAATACAAACGCATAACTTTTACTCAAACAAATTAAATAATGTCAGGAAAAGAGACACAGTCCAGGACTGGGAGGTCAAGCTGTGATCTGCAACATCTTAAAACACTGTTGCACAAACAGACAGCTGAAACAAAATAAGACTATTGTAAACATGAACGCCACCAAAATCTCACTTATTTTAAAATCCAATCAAGACCCAACTTTCGATAGTCCATTCAGATGAAACTGTTGTGTAATAAATTACAAATCTTGTGTTATATGCTGCCTTTCTCCATTATGTAATGTTATCTATATTATTATAATCCTTATTATAACCTTCATGTTTTTAGTTCTTCTGTGCTTTTTGTTAGATGAGTTTATAATGGGACTAAGTTGCAATGTTCTTGCGTGTATGAAAACTTGTTGAAAATTATATAATACAAAAAAAACCTGGCATCAACAAGGATAAACCCACCCCTCCTCCAGTATTTCTCAGCAAACAAACTCCAATACATACTTCCTCCCAGAGGGTCTGGAGGCAGCCCAGTGTGAGAAACTGCATCAGTGACCTTAAATGGACCAGCTAAAGGAAATGGCATCCATTAGATTACAAGTTCCCCTTATTGTGATGATGATGATGATGATTATTATTATTATACATTTTTTCCAGTTTGTGTTCTTTCTTTTATTTATGTGATTTACTTTCTGTAGGCCCGGTTCACTTATACAAGAAATACAAATACTCTATCCCTGTTATATTTGTTGCTGAGAAGGAAAATTCCCTGACTGTTTCTTTAAACTCTGGGCTGTGTCTGACAGGCTGGACGTAATTCTGTCAACACAGTGATCGAGGATTGAGATAAAAGAGTCGAATCACTGTTTTGTTCCCCGTGTTTAATCATTAACACAACTTCACGACTAATCTCCTCACTTAACAAGAAAAACGTCTCACACTTCTTCTTTACATCCTTTTCAGTGTCATTTATTTACATAATCCTCATTTATAAGAAAACTGCCATTGTCGAGGTTATTCATTGTTGTTATGTGGTGGTGTGTTTGGGGTCAATCCTCCATTCTGTTTCTGGAGAGGTAGCTAGAAAGAAGAGCCGGGTAGTCACTCATCACCCCGGTGGCCCCGACGTCAAACGCTGCTTTTATGTCTTCATCTTCATTGCACACAAACAAATGCACCTGCAATCACAGATATATTAGTCAACCTTAGTGAGTGATCTGTCTGGGGTCCAGGAGAACAAGCAGCTTGAAAAACAAAGTTAAAATGGGTTGGTCAACTTCTCAAACATTCAGGGAATAGAGCCAATGTCAACAAAAACAAAAGGAAAGGTTGAAATCACACAGCGTTCTATTTCTGACATCCTTTCTGCAGTTTTTAGCTACTGTGCGTGATCAATAAAGCACAAACACATGTCATACATTTGGAGGGTGGCAATTGTCTCAGATTTGACAGCAAAAACAAAGCCTCAGAGCATAAAGGACTACTTGTTCAGACTGAAGTGTCGACTAATAACTCATATTCCTCAGTGTTATGAATAACCCTTTAACTGCCAGACCAAGGAAAAAGCTATGGAAAAATTATTTGTTTGCATTTTTTATCAAATGGGCCACAAATAACCACAAACCATTTTTATTTTTTGACTGACCACACAGTTTTGTTTTTATGAGCCTCTACCAACTGGTCGAGCTGGCCTTCTATGGTAAAAGTGCATTTTCAACAATCATCATATACAGTACAGTATTTGTATGCATCAAACTCAAATAAAACACAAACTGAACTACATTTGTTTCTTTTATGGAAAATGAGCAATATATACAACCAGATGTATTCATAAAAGATAATAAATTATAATTGTAAAAAAAATGTTGGGGAAAAAGGTAATGTAAAGTGTTTTACATAATAAAAAAAAGACTTGCTCATCTTACTGTATATGCTGAATTGGCCTAACAAGAAACCCCTGGCCTAACAGCAAATGTCTATCCTGTGTTGGCCTAACTTGCTCATCTGTGTGCAACTTTGGGCTGAATGCCATGCATGAAAGGTGCTATATAAATGATTATCATTCTTTCACTCTGAGACTCATAAGGCAGTACTAGATGTAGTAATATTACCATGAATCTAGCCATTTATTTACCATATTTTATTGGAAAACATCTCTGAAACTCTGAAAAAGTCATATTGCTAGTTTACCATAAAAGGCCAATTCGACCGGTTGGTTGAGCATATTTTCCCAAAAAGAATTACACCCTTGTTAAAACTTTTTGTGTGCATCAAGTTATCTAAATATGTTCAGTAAGTGCTCTGACACTAAAATATGTCAAAAAGTATATGGTTACCTTACAAAAGTTGACCAAAAAGAGTGATTTCTTCAGCAATGATCTTTTAGCATTGCCAACTTCCTCAGTGGAAGCTAGCTGAAGGGCTTTCTGTTCGAACCACAGTGACATCTAGAGGTTGTTTTGTGCATAACATGTCAACCAAACGGTAGAGCTGGCTGAATCAGATGGCGTTACACTTTTTTTTTTCAACAAGTTATCAAGACACAAAATGTGCTCTACCAGGTGGCGCTGGCAGTTAAAGGGATATTCTGTATGTTGTGATTTTAGCATTTGCAGACGTTTTACATGCACAAAAACCTATATAACACACTACAGGAAAGGGAAAACCCAAAAAGCATAATAGGCCCCCTTTAAAAAACACAATTTTTAATATTTAATATCAGCAGTATGTAGATACTTTTATTGGGGAGGGAAATGCATTGGTAAAATAATGTCTCTTTACTTGTTATTTCTAATATATATTTATTATTTTCCTGGAGAGAGGAGCTCTGAACTCATCCCTCTGTTTTGATGTGCAGTATGAGGAGATGAGCTTTTCTTAGTCACTTACTTAGAATTACTCAAAGGCATTGAGGCCCTCAGCAGCTGACAAGGCAACGAGAAACAACTTCATGCTCAAACTATTTAAGTGTTAACTCAGGACAGAGGCGATGCATTCGAACACATCGTGAGCGTTACTGTTTGTAAGCTGAAAAACTGAAGTGTAATGATCATTAAACCACTAATAATTCAATTAAGTATTACATATGATGAGGCAGTCGCAAGCGGTCAAAATTAAACTGAATCTGCTCTTTTTTCTTGTTTTTGTATCCAGGAATTAGGATTTGGTTTATGTGTCTCTAAGATTAAGAAAGCTACATTTATTTTAAAATTACCCAGTGGATGTTTTCATAAGTAGTGTCTTGATGAGCCAACACTTGATTAAAAACTGTGCACAAGTCAGATTGTAATTACTCTTATACTAATTGTGTTTCCTATTCATATCTCAACTTTTACATTTTCAAAGGTTCTTGTTTTTGTGCATTCCTGTGATGCACTTAAACAACTTTTAGGGATGTATTATGCAGTTTTATACCTGAATTCCACGGGCTGCGAGGTGTTTGAAAAGACTCTTCCTCATTGTTACTCTGGAACGACAACATACATACAAATTAATTCAGTTTCTACACAAAAAGCATTAAACAAAAATCAATTATTTCGGTCTTTAGCCTTGCATAAAAGCATTAACCCATGCATTCAGTGGATTTAATGTTCTCAGTATTGTTTACGTTTCTCTCTTTCATGACCATTTCAGATTGCAGCAAAACAAAGTCAGTCATAAGGAAGGCTGCAGTGTAACTTCACTCACTTTTCTAACAAAGAGACGACCAGCGTGTTCCTCAGCATGGGCTTCTCAGGAATGAACGTCCTTCAGCACCCAGAGACAGAGAAAGAAACAGTCAACATGTCTGTACTGTTAGTAATTTATTACTATGAATGACTTATCATTGATATGAATAAGGGCCACCATTTTAATGTAAATTACGTGTGCCCCTCCCAGTGTTGAAATGACACCCACGCCCTTGCATGCAAGAACACGCACACAGACTCAACACGCAGCCACACCTGTTGATGATGCGTGGCAGGTAGAACTGCAGTAAACTCTCTCCCAGAGGCACAAAGGGCAGCAGGCCGCTGTAGAAAAGCAGGAGCATGAGCACAACTCGGTTCTTACTGAAGCTG